GCCGCGCTCCAGCCAGGCCCCGGCCAGGGGGGCTGCTGGGGGGCTGGGGCACGGGGGCAGAGGGTAGCAGGGCCCTACCTTTAAGGGAGCCCATGGCCCGCCGCAGGCAGGTCTGCCTGTCCGCCGGGAGCCATGCCTGCGCCGAGCATCCCCTCCCCTGCGCCGCACGGCACGTTGCTACAGCGACCGCCTCCCGCCGCAACCGGCTGGAGCCGAGCGATGGAGGATGTGCAGGAGCCTCCTTCGGCCTCGCCGAACGATGGAGGATGTGCAGGAGCCTCCTTTGGCCCCCACGGGATGGGGGCGAGGAGCCTTCCCACAGCCCTGGGGGGGGACGCAGCCCCGGTGCTCCTCTGCAAGGCAGCTGCCCGACCCAAAATTGCCCGTGCTGCCCCATCGCAGGGCTGCTGGGTTTGCAGGGGACATCGCCCCGGAGGAGCCCGGTGACAGCAGCCCTGCGAGGGCTGGCCTGGATGTGCCTCAGGGGACACCCAGCCCTGGGGACACCAGCCCCTGCCACCCCAGTGACGCCCCCAAGTTCGGCTCATGGGAGCCCTCTGTCAGGACTGGGACCCTGTGGGGTGCAAGGACCACAGGGCTGGGGACGGCGGCAGGGTGGGGGGCTGGCACCCCTCACCCTTGCAGCGAGGTGGTTGCTCTGGGGTCATGGCTCTGGGGAAGCTGCCCTCGCTGTCGCTGCCTGCACAGCCCCCCCAGCATCCTAAGCCCCCCAAGCACCCCGAGGCCCCTGAGCATCCCCAGCCCCCCGAGCATCCCCAGCCCGCAGGAGAGCAAAGCCTTGGGAAAGGCTGGGCACGCTGCAGCAGGGCAAGACACCCTCCAGTGCACTTTCTGCACAGAGGACATTCCTGTCCCCACCTCCGCCCCCCGCCCCGGGTCTCACCTCAAAAAACAAGAAAGAAGCAGTGTGAGGGTTTTTTTTCTTCCCCAGCCATAATTAAAAACAACTCACCCTTCTGAGCCCTTTCTATCCCGGGAGGTCGAGAAGAAAGAGAGGGGAGGAAGGGGAAAACCCTAAAAGAAAAGAGAGGAAGGGCTTGGGAAGGAGAAGAGAAGGGGGGGCAAAAAAAGGGACGGGGAAAAATTAAAGCAGAGATTACACAAAGGGAACTCCTCTACCTTTGAAGCATTGGTTAAATTGGGGAGGGGGCGGCGGGGGCAGGGAGGGTCTGGACCCAGTCGGCCCCTTTCTCAAAGCCCTCTCCTTTCAAAATGTCTCAAATTCCTGCAGAAACAAGGAGACGGGGTTGTGGGGCCGAAGGAAACGGGAGGGGGAAAAAAAATTACCCCGGCCGCTCGGCTAATTCCTGCCCGCCACACCTGGGCAGGCAGCGCCGGGCGCATTGTTCGGCCGTAATTGCTGGGTGTTGCATTTCTCTTCTGCTTTAAAGCTTCATTTAACTCAAACTGTTATAATTTTCTCCCCACTGCCCCC